ATGCTAGCCCTGTTGGGGTGAGATGATATCTCATTGTAGTTTTGATCTGCATTTCTCTAATGGCTAATGATCGTGAGCATTTCTTCATGTGTCTGGTAGCTGCCTGAATATCTTCTTTGGCGAAGTGCCTGTTCATATCCTTTGCCCATTTTTTAATTGGATCATTTGTCTTTTTGTTGTTGAGGTTTTGCAGTATCTTGTAGATTTTAGAGATTAGACACTGATCGGATTTGTTGTAGACAAAAATTTTTTCCCAGTCTGTAGGTTGTCCTTTTAGTTTTTGGTGAAGTCTTTTGATGAGCATAGATGTTTAAGGGAACACTTTCGATACCTTGGACTTTGTGTGTATGCACATGCACATGTGTGCATGCATCCACTTGTGGGCATGTAAGGGAACACTTTTGATACTTGACTGTGTGTGCGCATGTGCATCCACTTGTGCACATGGAAGGAACACTTGATACCTTGGACTGAGTGTGGGTGGAAGGAGTGCAACTTAATTCACTCAAGCATTTAGAGAGTGCCTCCTATGTGTCAGTCATGGGGTACTGGGGAAACAGGGACAAGAGACACCATCTGTGCCCTGGCTGGGCAAGGACAGGAAAGGTGTGACACTTTTCTGTGTCTTACATGCCCTACTTCACTTGTTTGACCACCTCGGCCATTGACTCAGCAGATGGTTACTGGGCTTTTTCAGGTGCATGGCCTGGTGCAAGGCCTAAGGGTAGTAAATGGTGGTACCTCCCTCAAGGAGTTTATGATCTGGTAGGAGGAAAAACCTTCTGCTAGATCATGAGGCAAAATGAAGAGCTAAACAGAGATGGCTCCTGTCTGCTCTGAGTAGATCAGTTACTTGTAACTGAAAAGGATTTCAAGAAGAGGTGGTTTTGGGGCCAGGCTGTGAGAAGGAAGGACCTCCCCCCTTTATTCCTTACCACCTTAACTCACTGGTTTGTTAGCTTCTACCAGTGTTCAGGTAGGTGGGGTCAGTGTCTGGCCTCAGCTTCAGCCATTCACAGCCCATTGGGACTGGAGATTGCAAATGGGTGCCTGTGGTCAGAGATACTGAGAGGCTGGCCTGGCGACCTGCCAGTTCCCTCCTCTGTAGGGTCTTCCATCTGGCATTCAAGGTGGCAAGGTGCTCTTGCAAGAATTTGAGGGAGCTACACAAGCAAGCTTGAATAAGAGGACCAGTAAGCCTGCTGCTCCAGAGCAGGGAAGGCTTAGGAAAGCAGGCCATGAAGTAATAAGGCCCCATCTTCAGGGGACACCACTTCCAGAGGTGGAGAGCAGCTCTGATCGGGACTGGTGGTACACAGTGTTGTCATTGGCAAGCTGGCGAACTCTGCGTGAGCTTGCTAAGCACCTACACTCTCTGCAAGATGACCAATATGCCACCAAATGTATCTAATTGCTGCCATAAAACTACATTCATACTGTTATTAGGAGTATAAATAAATATCTTTTAGGGGGCCTTTTACTACTACTAATCAGTATTCTAAATAATCATATACTTTCACCTCCAAATTCCACCTCTGTGAACTTGTCCAATGGGAGTGCTGTACAAGTATATAAAGGGGTAGGTGTAAATGTTCACTGTGGTGTTATTTGGGTTGGCCAAAAAAAGGAAGCCACCATGAATACCCGTAAGTAGAAGAAGGGAGAGGTAAGGTTATGGAGCGCACACAAAGGAGTGTGGTGGGGGGGTGGTGTTGGGGATATTCTGTTGAAGAGGAAAAGCAAGCTACAAAAGATCTCATTTCTATATTTAAAAACTGTGTACAAGCATGTACTTGTGTATACACAGCAGTGTATCGGTCTGTACATGTGCCTATCTGTTGACAGAGCACCAGTGTCCTCTGGGATAGGGTAGGAGGGACAGGCTCATGAGGATGGGGACTTGGCTGCATTGTACACACAACCGTTGTTTTTATGAACAAGCATGTACTGCTTTTTGTGACCTTTAAGAATCAGTACACATTTTTTCGGAGGCAATAGAAGGTGTCAAAAAGCATAGCCAGCATGCTAGCCAGAAGTGTATGTTTCCTAGGAGCTGAACAGGACCTGCCGGGCCATGCAGCAGCGCATCGTGGAGCTCATCTCTCGCGTGTCCAATGAGGAGGTCACTGAGGAGCTGCTGCATGTCAATGATGACCTCAACAATGTCTTCCTCCGATATGAGAGGTGGGAGCCAGGCTCTGCTTTCTTTTCCCTTGAAAAGATTGTTGCCGTAACAGAGGGATTTTTTCATAAACAAAGGAGAGAGATTAGAGTGGGAAAATACTCATCAGAGATGCTAATTTGTTCCCAGATGACAGGGAAAATGCTTCTTGTTCTCCTGGGAACGAGCAGCAGGAAGTTGACTGAAGAATTAGGCTCTGCCCTTTGTAAGCCTCAGGCTGCTCTGCCTCCCCTACTACCTGGCCCCAGAGAGGGGGACTTGGCTGGAGCTTCTGCACCTGCTCCTTTGATGATCCTTTGAAATTTGAAAAGGATTAAAGAAAAAAAAATCTCTACTTAGAAAAAGGATTTCCTCTTCCCCATCTTTAAAAAAAGAGAATTTTCCCTTTTCAAATGCCAGTGTGTCTAGAGTATGTAGGAGATGCAGGCAAGGTGAGCACTGAGAAGCTGCTGCTTAGGATCACAGCTTTTATTTCTTGCTGTAGCCAAATAATTTTAAGGTTTAAGGTAACAAGCCTTCTCCAGAGCCTTCACTCGGGAAAAAGTTGGAAACATCTTGTTGAGACACAGCTTTAAAAATGAGGTGTAATGGCAGGTGGCATTCCCATCTCGTCACCCAAGGAGTATGCCGTAGGCTTTCCTGATTGCCCAGTGTTGGAACCAGAAAGGACCAGGCCAACCTTTCCTCGCAAAGACAAGGCCCCAGGGGGTGGGAGACCTGCCTGAGTTCCCCAAGGTACTTGAGGTCCTGGCCCCCCTCAAGGGTACCAGGTGACTCACAGCTTATTATGTGTGTTAAACAGGAGGATGATAACTGGTCACTGGGTTCAGTGTGACAGACACTTGCATTTGCATAACCCTTTGGGGGTATAGAGGGTGATTTTGTTGTGATTGTCACAACCATGGGCTTTGTCTGAGCCTTCAACTGTGTAGGTAGGTTTGGGTGCCCATTTGACAGATGAAGAAAGCTCTGCAGTAGGAGCATGGGGCCATCCAGGAGGCCCCAAGTGTCTGTTGGAGAACAGGAGCAGGTCTGCTGTGCCCTGACTCCCAGCCAAGCCCCCTGTGTCTGCCATGTGGTTCCAGTTTCTCCTTGTTAAATGGGCTTAGGTTTTAACCCATTAAGCCCATTTAAGCCCCTCCTAGAATATGTTAAAAGGAGCTACCACTACCAGTCGAGTTGATTCCCACTCACAGCGACCCTGTAGGACAGGGTAGAACTGCCTCATAAGATTTCCAAGGCTGTAATCTCTGTGAAAGCAGACTGCCACATCTTTCTCCCTCGGAGTGGCTGATGGCTTTGAACTGCTGACCTTTTGGTTAGCAGCTGAGTGCTTTAACCACTGTGCGACCAGGGCTCCTTAACAGGAGCTAAAGTGGACATTTTTACCCAAGAGTCCCAGAGTTACAAAGAATCCAGAGGCAGAGGCTGGGGCCAGTGTCCCAAGGTGCTATCCTGGTTCAAGTGCTGTTGATAAAACAAATTGTCCCTCGAACAGAGTGAGGGAGAGGTACCCCAGGATTAGAAATTTTTCAGATATATTAATATTCCATTCTTCTCCTAAGGACTACAGTTGAAAATACCACACAAGTCTTTCTTAAAACCACAGTTGCCACCACTGCCTGACTTCCTCGTCCCGCCTGGGGTGCCTTCCTCCCTGGGTGCTGACCCCAGTGAGCCAGAGGACAAGCACGGGGCAGCATATTCCACTGGAGCCCACTGCTCCAGACTCAAGCTGATGTCTCTTAGCTACCTCTTTGCCCATGGCATTTGGGAGCTTTTAAGTACAATGACAGAAAATGACTACTCCCTCTCCCTAGCCTTCCCCACAAGTGGTTTCATGCACTGCACCTTGTATGAGAATGACTTGAGTATAGGAGGGAGAGGCATGCTACAGCTGCTCAAAGCCAAGGCCCATCTGGGGCTGATTGGCCATTGCAGAGGAAACTCCCACAGACCCACCCTGCTCCTTGCAGCAGCCCCTCACTGACTGGCCAAGTCCCCACAGCTCCTTCCACCAGGCCGTCGTTGCCAGGGCCTGAGTCTGTCCTCCTCTTGCCCCTTTCCTCCCCTCCCCATTTCCTCCAGCAGGTTGATGAGTTTACAACTAGTTATCTCCCAAGGAATAGCACTCCTTTCTCCTATCCCCAGAACTGAGGGCATTTTAGGGACTTTAGCTAATGACTCCATACTATGGCTCTGTGAAATTGAGAGGATTGCAGTTTTTGCCTAGTTTGTAGGTAGACATCAGAGACACCTACGGTAAAGTGGCGGGGGCAAGAGGAGCATTCTGGGCCCAGGTGAGGGGGTAACTGGTGAAGCTTTTAATGACTTCCTCCCTGATACCCAGTGAGGGTGCTCATGTGAGAGGGGCCACGCAGAGGAAGGTGTGGGGATGGTGTGTGTATGTCTGCCCCCTCCTCCCCGCCCCCACATGGGACTGGTTGGTCTGCTTTCTCAGAGACTCTGCCTCGTTGGCTGGCCTCCCAGGGCCCTCAGTCCCCGAGCTCTTTCTAGCCCCAGTGAGCCCTGCATAGGCCACATCACAGGCACCCTGTCTACTGACCTCTGCTTCTCCTTCCCCCATTAGGTTTGAACGATACAGGTCAGGCCTATCGGTACAAAAGGCCACTAATGGAGTAAGTATTCCTTCAGAATTCCCTTAACGCCTGAGGCTGAGCCTACCTCCGTGTTGCGGTTGTCAGGGAGACCCACTCTATCTGGCCTTACTTCCATCCTTTCTGACTGAAAGACAGCTCTGGTGGATGAGTCCTTGGGGAGGAGCTAGTAGGCACACCCCTGGCCACATAGGGTGGCCAGGTAGCGGTACTTACAGTTCCCACTGTCCTGGTGACTCAGCCACCCTTAAGTGGGGGGTGGGAGGGAAGAGCAGTGGGCGGGGGCTCACTAGCAGCCAGGCCCCCACTCCAGACCCCTGAGAGTGGCTGAGGGATACCACCTGGCTTCTGTGTTGGTGCCACGGATGCTTCTCTCCATGGAACTCCATGTGGTCACCTGCTTGCTTTGACTTCAGAGTCGACACAGGGCTCTGGGGCTCACTGCTAGTCTCATGTCCTGACAGGTACTGAATGAGGTCACCGAAGACAACCTAATAGACCTGGGGCCGGGCTCTCCAGCCGTGGTGAGCCCCATGGTGGGGAACACAGCACCACCATCCTCCCTCTCCTCCCAGCTTGCAGGCTTGGGTAAGTGTCTCAGGAACACCATGGGCCTCCCTCCCACAGCCTACTCTGCAGGCCCTTTCCTGGCTGCAACTCTGGGCTGAGGGCCCCTTTTTCTCTCTTTATTGAAAGGCCCTTCTGAGGAATCTATGTGAAAGTGTATTCCTGTGTCCCAGCCAATTACACCACCGTCAAGTCATAACTTCTTTCCCAAAAATTAAAGTTTAACCCTGTGTTGGAAAGCAGGGGTGGGGTTCGGACCTGGAAGTTGTTTATTTGATTTATTTTTTTAAAGAAAGTTAGCTTGCTAAGTTTTATCTGGAATATTCACTATGGTTGAAATGATTTCCTTTTCTATATCTACTAGGCTAAGGATGGCAAATAGATTTCAGCTCATTGGCTGCTTGGAACTCAGGGTTGAGAAGGATGCTGAAGCCACATCAGGGCTTAGAAGATGAGTCTTTGATTGATGGGCAATGTCTGCCATGACTTGGAAACAGGAAATGATGGCACTAACATATTTGCTGTCCTTGAACTATACCAAACCCACTGCCGTCAAGTCAATTCTGACTCATAGCGACCCTATAGGACAGAGTAGAACTGCCTCATGGGGTTTCCAAGGCTGTAAAGCTTTATGGAAGCAGACTGCCACATCTTTCTCCCTCGGAGTGGCTGTTGGGTTCGAACCACCAACCTTCTGGTTAGCAGCCAAGGGCTTAACCACTGCACCACCAAGGCTCCTTTGAACTGTACCATCCACCCAAAATGCTCCGTTGTCTGATACTTAAAAGAAACTCAGCCCTTGTCCACAGCCCATTCACTTTAACTGTGTGTATAGCTCTAGATGCTGTAACTACTCCAGATGATGTCAGTTCATAACTGGAACAAAATTATAATTGTGAAATAACTAATAAGCATGGTCCCCCTAAAATTCTTTCCTCTATCCTGTTTTCTGTTTTTCTTAATATTCCTGTTCCTACCTTTGATTCATTTCTGTTGAATTAAGCCTTTATTTAGTGGCTGTCAGTTGCTTTAATTCTAGCCTTTCAGTATCTTGTGTATCTGTAGCCACTATTTCTCTAGTGAAACAGATTTTTGTGCCTACGATCTATTCAGCATATGGGCACCAGACTTAATACCTAAAATTCAAATTGGCTTTTGCCACCGCCCTTCTTGAAAACTATCTCAGGTTTCTCCCCTCAGCTCCTGTCCTTGGCAGCTGAGGCTTAGCACCAGTCTCATTCTCTGCTAAACTCTGCCCAGATCCTGTGCCTTTGCACCTGCCTTTGACCCCCTTCTCCCCCCAGCAAAACCCCGCTCATCCTTAAAGACCACCCTTGTGTTGGCTTTGAGTCTTTTCTGGTACCATAAGCTAAGTACTGCTGTTGTTTCTTCTTTAAGCCAAGCACAGTGTCATAATCAATTTGGTCCACTCAGAGCTAGTTCTAAATGTTATGGGTGCCTAATAAATGTTTGTCAAATAAATAAGGGACCCAAGCCCTTAGAAACTGTGATTGAGTTCCTGAGGAACTCACTGCTAGGGCCTAATGGAAACTGCAGTGAACTGGACCCCGCCTGCCTTCCTCACAGCCGTCTCTCCTTTCACACACAATGTGGGCTTGAGTGGCTGTTCTCTCCACATCTGAGACTGCCACCCTGTAGCTCCTCTGCAGGTGGATGCGCTGGGAGTGACTGAGGAAAGTGCTGTGGCCCCCTAACCACAGAGCTGCACCCCTGAACCACCCGCTGGTGCCCCAGCTTTGGGCCTCCATTAAGTTCCTAGTCCCCGCTGTTCTCATCCTCCTCTGGCTTGTTTTGTCACCACAGACTTGGGGACAGAGAGTGTCAGTGGCACCCTCAGTTCACTCCAGCAGTGTAACCCCTGTGACGGCTTCGACATGTTTTCCCAGACAAGAGGGAATTCCTTGGCTGAACAACGCAAGACGTATGTGGGGACCCATTCAGTGGCTCTCTAAAGATATTGGTGGGGTGGGGGAGTAAGTGACCCAGGCTTGATCACAGGCAACATAAAGATGCCTTGATTTACCAGGACCAGGGCTGCCAGGGGCTTTACAATACAGATGTGAGACTTAGCATTCAATGCAGATGCCGAATGACTGTCAGCCATCCCCGCCTCTGCCACCTCTGGACCGACGGTGATGTGATTTCTCCCTGAGTCCCCAAGGAGAGGTTGCTCTTTCTTCCCTGTGCTGCTGCTGCAGAAAACTTCCACCACAGCCAGCCATTCATCTGCAGGAGCTGGGAGGCAGGGACGGACCTGGTTCCTGGCAGCGAGGTGTCCCTGCTGAGTAGTTAAGGCAGCGGCTCCCTAGCAGTAGTTCTGGCAAGGATAAGCCATATGGGATTGAGGGAGTAGACTCCGAAATAAACAACCCCTTGCGTCTAAGGGAGGAACCACAACGTGCTTGAAGCATTCTGCTCCTCCTCAACATGGGTGAAGAGTGCTTTTCCCCCCTTTCCCCGGGGCCCAGCATTTTGGTGCATTCAACTCTCTGAGCCGCATGCTCGGGACTCAGCAGGTTGACCAGATACCCAAGGCCTCACGTACCCTTCATCAACAAAAATTACATGTAAAACTGATACAGCTAAAAGGGTCTGGGAGCAGAGGAAGATACCTCCCATAATCAGTGGCAGCCCCAGATCACAGATCATGAGACCATTTTCCTTGCTGCTGAGGCTGCTGTTTTCAAAATAAGAATTAATATTACCTCGCTTTATCAAGCCCCTCCCCTCAAGAAGTTTCAAGGCACCTTTGACATCCTGTCATTGAGCTTTAGAGATGTCCCAGAATTGTTATTTACAAGGAAGAAATTTAGTTGCACAACATCCCCAGTCCCAGAGAAAACCAGGGGCGGAGCTGGTGCTAGCACCCATATCTCCTCACTTTGCTGCAGCCTGCAGAGCCTGACCTCTGCACCTCTGCCCCAATGCAAAACCCCAGGATGCTTTCCTGGATACTGCTGAGGAAGGTGCTGCAGGCCATCTTTGGGGCGGGGCGGGGGGGGAGGGAGACCTCCTGCTTCCTGTGCTGTTGTCCCCAGGGTGACCTACGAGGACCCACAGGCAGTCGGGGGACTGGCTTCAGCACTGGACAGTCGGAAACAGAGCTCTGAAACGGTAGGTCTTTAACCCCGCTTTTCTGCTGGAGTCCTCTGGAGAGAAGTCAGGCATTTCTGGTGAAGCTGCTGGATAATTAAGCAGAAGTGGCTTGACTGGAGGGCAGGGACATGCCGGGGAGAGGCATGGTGCAATATCACCATCCCAGCCCCAAAGTCTGAAAGCCCAGTGAGGTGGGAGACTTGCCCAGGGTACCCATGGACCAGGCAGCAGGCTGGGATCCACTGCTAGGAGGGCCTGACCTCAGAGCCCCTGCTGGTCCTGCCCTGGTGGCCGAGCTGTCAGGGCACAGGCCTCCTATGGCCAGATGGGCCCTTCACCCGTGTGCTCTGACAAAATCGCGACCTTTACAAGGAAGGGAATGCCGGCCTGAGCCGCAGCTCTGATGGCGAGTTGTAGCTGGCCTGTCCAGGAGTACAGCCCAATTAGCAGGCTGTGATGGTCAGGACAGGAAGGGACAGGTGGAGGAGCTGGGGTGGGAGGGAGGTGGGGCTCCAGGAGTGCCTGTCTGGGGAGGAGCAGAGCTCAAAGGGGAAATGCTTGGAAGTGGAGGAGTGCTTGTTTGAACTCCTAAAACACAGCCCCATAGACACAGTTTCTGTAAGACTTCAGGTCACTACAAGGAAAAAGATCTGTGTCTTACTGCTTCTTATGAGATGTTTCTCTCTTTTGCCTAAAAAGAAGTATGTGTGGCAGTGTGTGAACATGTGTCGGTGTGCAGAGGGTGGGGATGGGGGAAGGCTGTAGGGACCGCTGCCCCAGGCCAGCTGGAGCTCTTTTGGAGGCCCTCAGCTGGCCCAGAGGGGCAGGGAGGTCTCGCCTGGGGCCTCCTGCTTCTCAAGCTGAGTGTGTGCCCAGCAGGCTGCAGTGCTGCGGCTGCGGCTCTGTCCATGAGAAAGCTCACTGGGGGAGGACTCCACATCTATTTTGGCCAGGCTGACCTGAGATGAGGGAGCTTGTCCCCTAGCTTTGGCCACCAGGGAGCGCAGAAGAGCCAGCCCAGCCTACCAGCCACTCCTCTGGCCTGGCTGCCCTGGTTCCTTAGCACCCTGCCTTCCCACAGAAGCAGCTGGATTGGGATGCTCAAAATTTATGCAGTGGTCAGGGCCCTATTTCTCCCTTTACTTAGAAACAGAATGTCCTCACACCTGCCCAGGGAGGGCCAGAGAGAGCCTGGCTGAGGGCCCGCCAGCACACTGCCTGGTGAAGGCTAGCCCCCCCAGAGGACCCTAGCCCAGCCCACCTCATTTGCTGCCCATGCTGGCTACAGTGCCTACCTGCTCCTGCCAGGGTGTGTCATCCTGCGCTCCTGCTGTTATCAGTCTCCCCCCCCGACCCCCCCGCCAACCCGGGATCCTAGCTAGAGGGCTGGTCAGAAAGGTCCCGCGCAGGGGATAGGGCTGACTTCAGACGTTCACCCTTTGAAAGCAATTGTGGCTAGTATCCTCCTGCTGTTCTCAAAGGTCTCGATAATACCAGCATGCTTTCCAAATGGTGTTGGATTTTTTTACTGTTCGCTGTTTGACAAGGTGCTTCCATGGCCAGGGCCTTAGCGATGCCAAGAAGCAGGGTATGTGTGGCTGGGTATGTATGCACCAGAGGCGTAGTGAGGAGGGGCAGAGAGGAGCACTTGAGGAGGGGCAGAGAGGGGCACTTGCTCCTGGGCACAAGTCCAAGGGGGCATCAGATGAGGCCCAGAATGACAGTCGGAGGAGCCACAAATATGAAAGACATCTGACTGAGGCAGCCGGACAAGAGGGGAGAAGGTGTTTCTGCTGACATGTCACCGCTATCAACATCTGTTCATCTTGAAATTGGGGGGTGGTACAACTTAAAGATTGCTCCATGGGCACTCGAAGTGGGGGGCATGCAACTTAGAGATTGCCCCTGTATGCTCATTACCCTCCCTACGCCTCTGTGTGTACAGATGTGCACCTTCACGTCATTACTGCAGGTCACATTGTCCCACACCCCAAGCCATGCTGACCTGGAAATGAGAACATGCTCCCAAATTAACAGCTGGGGTGAGGGAGGAACTAGGAACACAGAGAAGGAGGGGAAATGGTGTAGCTGCACCAGGGTGCAAACAAATCAGTAGTCCTAACTTTAAACTGGGGTCCTAGTGGCACAGTAGTTAGGAACTCGGCTGTTAATCAAAAGGTTGGCAGTTCGAATCTACCAGCCACTCTGTGGAAACCCTATGGGGCAGTTTTACTCTGTCCTACCAACCGGGTCGCTATGAGTCGGAATCGACTTAACGGCAATGGGTTTGGGTTTTTTTTTTTTTTTTTAACTTTAAATACTTTCATCGTTTTTAAAACAATAAAAATACACTCAAATTCAGCTTTCAAGTTAAGAGTTTAGAAAAAGAATATGCAGGCAACTGGGAAGGAAGAAAAAGAGAGAAAAAAGCAAGAGTAAGTTAGAAAAAAATGAAATGATTTTGTAAATGCTGGTTCTTTGAAAAGTGCATTTCCTGCAAACCCTGGTGGCCCTAACTGGGGGAAGCAGGCCTGACCAGCCCTCTCTGACCTCACAGAGGCACTCCAGGCTGCGAGAGGCGTTGGTATGAGTGTCTGTTGGGAGTCTTGGTTGCTAAACTTTTCTTCTTTTTTTCTAGGCATGTAATGGGGACACGGGAGAGGGAAGTGGGGCATGGGGTCACATTTGCTCTCATGACAATCGACTCTGAACAGGGACTTTTCTGTTGCCACAGTATGTGCTTTTGACTTCTTTTTCATGGGTCTTGCTGTGACTTCTTTCTTTCTGGGACTTTTCTGTCCTCGGCCCAGCAGAGAGGTAAATGTGGGGACTCTGACCTGCAGCCTATAGACAGCTGGCTAATAGCCCAAGGAATGGTGAGAGCTGACCAGCAGTGCCAGGCCTGTGTGCACCCAGCCCCTTACCTGTGTAACAGTCCACTGTCATCCTCTGCCAACCCGCTGAGCCCTGGCGGACCAGACAGTACAAGGCCACTCTCTCCTCCTAACCGGGATGCCAAATTTCCCCTCCTGTCTTTGAATTATCTCCTTAAGCCACAGACTTGCAGCTCCGGAAAACACCTTCACTGTTTTCTGCTGAGGTCTGTGACCTGGGCCTCAAAGGTCTGGGCCATTATCGGCGTGCGGGGTGGGAAGGCTTCCCTCCTTTTACTGTCTCTGGAGCTTTCGGCAGTATTCACTTTTCCAGGATGAGCACAAGCTCCTGGGGCTTTTGCTTGGGTGGGTTGGGGGAGAGCATTTCTGAAATAACACCTCCCCCACTGGCCAGTTCAAGAAGCCTGTGAGTCTGGTGGTCCTAGGCTCAACAAGTTTTAGAGTATAGCTATTTATGTCCACTAAGTCACAAATGGAGTTGAGACCTCTCAAAGAAAGACACACACACACCAGGAACAGAATAAGAAGACAAAGCCTGGGGTGGGGGTGAGTAATAGCCAAACACAGTTTGTCTTCATGAAGCAGAGTTTTTCTGGCACAGAGACCTTGTCCCATTAGGTAGCTCTGAGTTTGCTTGGAGAGAAGGTGACCTCACCCTGGGGTGATTGCTGTGGAGTGACGACTTTCCCCCTGACGAAGCAACAACCCTTGCCAAGTGCCTGACATGGAGACAGAGCTCTGTGTGTGTGTATCTGTGTATGTGTGTCATGGCCTAGCACTGGAGAAGAGGAAACATGACAAAAGAAATGAAAGTGTGGGGCCTCTGTCCTCCAGGAGCTCCACTCTAATTGGGGCAGGGGACACTAGACACATAGTGGTGAATAAATGTAGCTAATCCCTGTGTGCTATGCCAGGAGTGGCCAGGGGAGGGGCCCAGGCAGGTAGACAGGAGGTCACCTGCCTGAGCAGGAGTGACCTGCATGCAAGGACTTGGTCCAAGCAGGACCATCCAGAACCATGGGGGGTGCCTGCCTGGCCCCTAGCTTGGAGCTGGTGACCTCTGCACAACCACGCTCAGGTGGAGCAGGCTCCCCAGCCCCTACTGCAGCAGCAGGTAGCACAGTCCTGCTTGGACTGAGAGGGCAGTGGTTTCCAGGCCAGGCCCCAAGGCCATTCTGAGGTGGGCTACCTGGGTCCTTTGCTTGCTACTTCTGGGGCATGCTAGAGCTCTGGCCCATGTGAGTGGCCTCAGACCAGGGCTCTTGGAGACCATGTCCACTCCACTGTCCAGACTGGGAGAATCCAGCCCGTGTGTGTGTCCTTGTGCCTATTAATCCTGTAAAAAAGGATACTGCCCACTCCAACTAGCCTGAGTGTGGCCTTGGCCGCTGGTGGTGGCGCCTGCCTCTGCCTACACAGGCTGCCTACACACTGCCCTGTCCCCACACAGAGCTCCAGTCCCCGACTTCCCAAACAAACCCCACTAACAGCTAACCTGGCATCCCACCTCCCTGGCTGCAGATTTTTTTTTTCTTTTAAACAATGTTTATTAACTGCTTTGCCCTATTTCCCATAGCATAGAAACCCTGAGTCTTCCCAAACCTCCCGAGTACAAATTCTTTACTTGGAAACTTTTTGTACTACTGAGTGAGGCCAAACAACTTTTAGACTATTCCTCGTGTTGGGTCGGTGGTTGAAGCATTATAGGGAGGATTGCACAGCTTCTATGGAAGTAAGCCCCTGGAGCTGCAGATGTTGTCCTGTTGCATTGAAGACCACAGTTAGGTTTCCTCGTGGGCTAGGACTGTAGGGGGCTGTACTCCCCAGGGCTGGACGTGTAGTTGATATCCAGCACAGAAGTTCAGTGACACCACCAGGTTCCCCAGCGGTGAGCTGGCCCACGTGGCTCCCAGGAACTCTGGGATGTGTCCTGTTGGTGCTCGGGTGCTCCTGCCCACCTTCTCTTGTTCAGGGGTCTTTTTGTCTCTCCCAGCTGGTGATCAGTTGGGGTGTCTCCCAGATGCAAGTGGCATCCAGGAAGATACCTTGATGAGAATGACTGAGTCACCACAGAACAAAATGGGCTGAGAAAGAGCCTAGATGTGTTTGTGGCGGGGGGGGGGGGGACCTAATCAAGGCACCCTCAGGACAGATGACCCTCCCACCTGCAGACCCAAGTGAGAGTCAGCAGCAGCCTGTGGACCAAAATCTGCAACTCTGACATCTGACAGGCCGGCTTCTCCTTGGACTCTGAAGCTGGGCAGGACTTGTCCAGCCATTGCCCCAGCCCAGCCAGCATGTGCTGCCTGACTTCCAAGGGAGATAGCTGTGTTCCCTTCCTTTCTTTTTCCCTCTTCATATCTCTTATTACCTTTCTTTCTCCCTCTTCCACTCACCCTCTTCTTCAGCCCCCTTGGACTAGCCTTCAGCTTGGACCATTGCCTGAGACGATGCTAAAACCATGGCATGTCGGAGCCAACAGGGATTTTAGGGGTCAGCTGGTCCCACCTTTTATTGACAGATGAGATCTCAGAGGGGCTGGTGACTTGCCCAGTCCCCTGACACTCAATGCAGGACCCTCTTCTAGCCGCAGCCTCTCTTCTCACCAGCCTGGAGTGGGGCTGCCCCTTTCTCCCTCACGTTCCCTGAGTTCACATTTTTATAGCAGTGTACATGTTTAGTCTGTGTCTGAGAGCACCTACATTATTAGAAGAAACTTTACCCTGTTGTAATACCCAAGGCATTTATTTACCAGGGCAGGAGGTTTATATAGCTAAGCTATTGTTTCCAACCACAAGAAACTCAACCCTTGCCTTACATTATATAAGCTTAACTGTTAACCAACACCCTAGATCCACAGTGATTCATGCCCCGAGGCCAGGTGCCTTTCATAGTGTAACAACACAATTCCAGTAATTTCCCACATCCCTGAGTTTCTGAATGAGAAATCAGAAGCACCAATCTGAAGGTCTGGACTTGTGGTTCAGTGGTAGAATTCTAGCCTTCCATGTGAGAGACCTGGGTTGGATTCCTGACCAATGCACCCCATCCGCAGCTACCACCCATCCATCAGTGGAGGATTGCGTGTTACTATGATGTTGAACAGGTTTCACCAGAGCTTCCAGACTAAGATGGACTCGGAAGAAAGGCCTGGTGATCTCCTTTGAAAATCAGTCTATAAAACCCTATGGATCACAACCGTCAGATCCACAACCAATCATGGGGATGGTGGAGGACTGGGCAGCCTTTTGTTCTGCTGTGCACGGGGTCACCATGAGTTGGGGCTGACTCGACAGCAGCTAACAACAACAATCTGAAAGTCAAAGGATTTGGGGTCATCACGTGTTGAAAGCTAAATGTGATCTTAATAGCCACCTTACTTCACAGACAAAGAAACCGAGGCCAAGAAAAGTAAATTGCCCAAGTGATGGTGCAGGAGCTGGCACCCTGCCTTCTGTTACTTCTGCCCTACCACCTATCTTTCCAACGTGAGAGGCTGTCTGTCAGGACAAGCTGGGGCCTAGAGAGGCGTGGTGGAGCGGCTTGCCCAGGGCCGTGCAGCCCATGGGGCCAGGCCCAGAACTGAGCCCTGCATTGCCCAGTGTTCCCGCCTCCTCTGCTGTCCTCCTCGGGCTGGGTTCACCTGACTTCCTGGACCTGGTCTGGAGGATCTGGAGGTTGCTAGTCCTTAAACTTACTTAAACATACCACTTACTTGGAAAATCCACGAGAGGGAAGAAAAGTGTTTCCATGAGCCATCTTTTGGAGAAGTTTCTCAAATGTTGATGTTTATTTTCTGAGCATCTGGCTCAAGATTAATCCTCAAAGAGGAAAACTGGAGCATGGTCCCAGGTCTCGAAGGATGTGTTTTTGAACAGTAACAAAAAAAATTCTAAGAAAAATATGAAAGCTTAAGGCTCATGACCCCTTCATGACTTTTTTCAAGCTTTTGCAGCACACTGAAAAGTTCCACACCTCAGGTATCAGTTTCTCCTCGTGGGATAAAGCAAGGTAGGCATGGAAAGGCCCATTTTGCACTCACGGCTGCACTGGAAATGTGGGCTGACTTTCCAAGCTCTGGCATCACCCTTCCCTGCAGCCTCGCACTCTGCAGTGTGAGTACCACGATAGTGAAAATCAGCACCTGCCACTAGGGGATGTCAAGGCAGAGGTCTGCCAGCAGGCATAGCATTGGCAGACCACCACCCATGTGCCCTGCTGCTGGCTGGGGGATGCACCTGTGTTAGGTGCTGTTAGCACATCCCACTGGGCATTTGTGTCACCCCCACAGGGTTCATTTTAGGGGAATATGAACTCTTCGGTATTTTTTTAATTTAACTTTCTTATGCCCACATCAGTCAAAAAAATAAAGTAGCACAGTAGACAGAATCTCCTGGTCTGCCTGTGGTTGGATCGAGGCTTCACAGCAGGCACGCATGGACCTTCTGTGCTGCACCTCCAGCCAGGGCAGCAAGTGCAGTGAGCTACCCAGTTCATCAGAGCCAGGCTGTTGATGAGCTGCGTGCATGTGCCAGGAGCTCTGGACAGGGCCATGGACCACCCCTGCACAGTGTGACCCCGCTTGGCTTAGACGTCCCCTCATCCACCAGCAGCAGGAGAGGAGAAGTGGCAAGGGGTGTCCCGGCAGGGCTGTTGGTACAGATTCTCTGCTCTTGTTCTTTGTTGAGGGCATGTTGATTTTAGATTTGGTAAACACTAAGGCAGCCCTCTGGCTATTTTGACCTTATTCTTAGCCTAGATATGACACTGGATGAGGCCAGATGCAGTGCTGGCATTTTTTCTAGAAACAGTGGACTTACAAGTGAGTCCCAGGAAGGCACCACCAGACCCAGGCGAGGTGAGGAGCAGGTCACCTCAGTGGAGGGCAGGCAGCTCATTTCTCCAGGCTGGGAGCCAACATCTCATTAGCGACGCTTCTCAGGGGGCTATGTATATCTGACAGCAGCTTAAACATTCTTAGCCAGATGCATTGTTCTGAATCCTACCCTGGAGGCCCTGGGGTGGGGGAGACTGTTCAGAACTGGTGAGTGGCCTCTCCGTTTGCTCTGGGGCCAGCGCCTACCCCTGGCCTGCTCCCCGCTTTCTCCAGTGAATCTCTTTTCTTTGATCTCTAAAGCACAGATGGCCATTGAGAGCAGGAAGAAAGGATGAGACTAAAGGAAGCTGTTGTATTCAGGACTGCTTCATGATTTTCCCCTGAAGAGACAATGAAGTCTCAGCCTAAAGCCCACAGCCCCCCTTTGTCATCAGAGCTCTCTGTGCTGTTTCTGGTGGTGGCAAAGCATGGCAGCCTTCTGTCACCTAGGCTGCACCCAGGCAGCAGTGCACACCTCCTCCCCATGCTCCTTGCTTCCCACCCAGAAAGGCACCAGGACACATTTTGAAATAGTTTCAGCTGGGCAAACAAAGCCCCAGACCTCCTCTTGGGTGGGCTCACAGTGTTGCTGGCCTCGCCTTCCAGAGCACTGCACCCCTGAGCCTCCCTGGTCATCGCCTCTCTGGGCATCGAGCCCTGTCGGCCCCTCCAGGCTGGGCCACACGTCGGGCGGCAAACACTCCGACCACTGCACTTCTGGGATTAGAGGGTACTTTTGCAGCTCTTGTAGCAACCCCAGAGTAGAACTTTGCTCCATAGGGTTTCAAGGCTGTGACCATTTGGAAACAGATCGCTAGGCCTTTCTTCTGAGGTGCTTTGGGTGGGTTTGAACTGCCAGCCTTTCCATTAGTAATCAAGTGATTAACTGTTTACACCACACGAGATCGCCATAAGTTGGTTCTGCATCTGAGACGCCATGACATGAGGGTTGACACATGTAGTCAAAAAGTTACCCATTTCAAGAACGCGTACAGACACCCTCCCTTCCCACCCAGCACTTGCTAGCCAGCTGCTGCTTATCGTTTGCACCCGCTTGTGCTCCACCGCCATTTCAACGCGTTGCCTGCATTGCCCTGTGCATGTAGTGCTGATTGTGTTTTTTTGTTTAGTTTGGGGTGGCTTTTGACGATTTTTTTTTGTTCCGGTGTGCTGTCTTTTGCCGTGGCTGTGTGGCTGCCTGCCTGGCTGCTGACCGCACCATAGATCCCCGTTGTGCAGCCCTCTGTCATGGACGACATTGAGGTGTGGCTCAGAACTGACCTGGTGAGACTCCCATGTTTGTACTCTGTGTGCGGGTGTTGAGGGCCAGAGGCTCCTCTGAGGACAGGCCTCTGGGGTCAGGGCTGTGCCTCACAGGCAATGGGCTCACACAGCCTCACCATCTTCTACAGTGCCTACCCTGGTTCAGCAGGCACCCACTGATGCCGAGTCTTGAGGAGGCCACCGTGATGGAGCACCCGCCCTGGGCAGTGCCTCCTTCAGGCCTCGTAGCTCGGTGGGGCATGCAGCTAGCAAGAGCAGAACGGGAGTTGGAGCCTGCTTGAGCAGGCTCGAAAACACATGCCACCTTTCCCCAGCTCCTTTTCAGTTTCAGGCGTGTGTTTGGGTTTTTCTTTTTACGTTTCATTTTATTTTTTATTGTAAGATATGCACACAGCTTAGTCAGGTGTCTGGTTTTGTTTTTGAGTCACTGTCACCCCCTCCCCCAATCTTCTGGCAAATTTGACTTATAAAACCCCTGTCCCAAAGCGGACCTGCCTTCCCTAAGAGGGGGATGGGGGGTAACGGTATCACACACCTGTAAGTGGCAGAGAGCTGAAGCTTGATGTATCTAGTGCCTCCCCTTATTCCTGCAAAGCGCTTTCACTCTTGGCCTCCCTGGGCGGCTCCCTGGCCCCTTGGCTGCTATAGAAGTGTGCTCTGGGAGAGAAGCTGGCTTGTCCAAGGTTGGCTGGATTCTCTTCAGACCTGGAGTCTACTTATCTCCTGCTCCCAGCTGCCTCCATTTCAGAGGAAACAGAGCAGCCTCTTGGGATCTTAACCACAAGTTCAGCCTGGCTCTCTCTGAGCTGGTGGCCTGGCCCCTCCCACTTGTCCCTCCCTGAGGACAGCAGGCCTCTGGCCAGGGCCTCTCCCTGCTCTGGGACTCCTCCCGAAAGTCCAGGCTTTCCTATTTTGAGATGAGGCAGCCACCCCAGATGCCAGGGGAGGAGGAAAATGCCCCATTATATCTTCCCCAAAAGGATGCCCTGAGAAGAAATAGCTCCTGTCACAGAGGCAAAGCAGAAGGACCAAGCCCCTCACCTACCAGGCCATCAAGACCCAGAAAAGGGAAGAGGCCTGCCCAGCAAGGTCATGGCAGAGGCAGGAAGGAACTAGGTCTTCTCCCCAGCTTTGTCTACTGACCCGTGTCCCCCCAGGAGGTTCCCAGGCAGCCCCATGCGCTCAGGCTACCACTAGGAGCCCCACAGACAATCAGGTCCGACATGCTCCATTTTAAGAGCACACAGCACCCCCTGGCTCCTTTAGGAGCTGCAGCGGTTGACGGGGTCTCCACTGTGGCCCTTCCCAGTGCAGTGTAGAATGGTGACTTCTCAGACCCTGAGGCTGGAAGGGAGTGGACGCTCAGTGGAGGGGCATGTGGCCCAGGTGCGCCTCAGCCTGGCCTTTCTGGGGCCACCCCCTGCCCTTTCCTGCATCTCACAGAGCTTCAACAGACTGAGAAGGCACCTGTCGCGGTCCTTGGCCCAGGCCCAAGAACTAGCAGCACCTTTTCTGGACTTTTCTTCCCAGTCCTGGAAGATCAAGACCCAGAGCCTACTTTTTTTTTTTTTTTGTAAACAGTTTCTGTTTCTCCAGTAAGAAGAGCACTACTTTGCTGTCATAGACTCTGGGAGCTGGGGAAAAGTGGGCAGTGGGCTCTCTGGTGGGGGTGGGAGTTGAGGTGGAGGGGGTGGGGCAGCTATGGGGCCTAATGCGCCTGTTTCTGCTTCTTTCACAGAAAGGTGATGACCCAGAGGAAGGGGTCACTAGTGAAGGTATGACCTCCATCCCCTGCGCCCACCCCTGGCCTGGTGCCAGGCCCTGTGCCATGGACTTCATGGCTTAGACCCCATCTGGGCCTCATTCCAATGAGGAAGGTGTCACTTCTCCCATCTTGCTTATCGCGAAGTGAGATCAGAAAGAACATGTGGCTTTAAAAAGTCACAGGGCTAGGGAGTTGTGGTCACAGACTACCACCCCAGGGCAGTGTGACCCCAGGGCCTGTGCTCTTCACCAGCTTGTCCCCCCTTGAGTGCTCAGTCTACTCCAGAGGCGAGACACAGGGTTTTATGGTTAGCTCAGTGTATCAAGACTCTGCTGGGGGTGAAGGCACAGCACCGGATGGCAGCCGGTGGGGAGGGGCTTCCTGGGCATGGCGTCTCCTGAGAGCATCATTTCTTCTGCGGGTGCAACAAAGGATTCCTTCTCCGTCACGGCCCCTTACCTGGTGTCTCCCATCTCAGCCCCATTCCACCATCTGCCTGTCTTCGGCCCGCTGCCCCATCCCTCTCCTCACCCACGTCCTTCCCCACTGTCTCCCCCTTGCTGTCTAATCCTGCTGTCCATGGGTCAGATCCCCTCAGGGCCGAGGGAGAGGACAGGAGCCCTTTGGTGTTCACGCACGATGTAAGAGGTGGACACAACTCTCTTTCCCCACCGGCTTCCCCAGCTACTCCCTTTGGTAGGGGAGGGTGGGGTCAGGATCTCACTCCTCCAGCTCTCCCTGCCCTGCCCTGCCCTGCCCTCAGGACTGATGTGGAAAAATGGAAAACCACACATCAGTGGGTGGGGCAAGAATAGGGGCTGCACCCACTGGCCTTTCCCTTGGGTCCTTCAAGGCTATGAGAGCTGGGAGCCTCCCGTACAATTCTCGGGGGGAGGCTTCTTAGAGGAAGTGGGACTCTCCTTCGCCCTAGACCGCAGCTGCCTGCTGCCCACTTCCCCTCGCCCTAGAGGTGGCAGGGGAGGAAATGGAGGCCCTGGAGTGGGGTGTGACTTCCTTGAGGTCAGTGCCCAGAAACAGTCCCTGCCTTTGGGCTCCAGCTGGCGGTGCCACCACCCTGCCTCCCTCCCTGGCAGCAAGGAGTAGGGGGTGCCCTGGGGGCCCAGGACAGTGTGTGGAGATGGCAGGATCTGGGAGAGGGGTAGGGCTCATGTGGGGAGACTCCTGGAGAGACTGGGTTAAGCAGAGCTTGTGGGGAACAAGCAAGGGTGGGGCTACTTCAACTCAAGGACTTTAATAAGGTGACTTAGAGAGGGGCTAAGCCCCCTGACCTGTCCTGCCCTTGCCTTGGTTTTTGTTTGCAGAGTTTGATAAATTCCTTGAAGAAAGAGCCAAAGCTGCTGAAATGGTCCCTAATCTCCCCTCACCCCCGGTGGAGGCCCCGGCCCCAGCCCTGGCCCCAGCCTCAGCTCCCTCCGGCCGGAAGAAGCCTGAGCGGCCTGAGGACGCCCTCTTTGCCCTGTGAGCTGTGGTTGTGGTTTGCCTGCCCAGAGGCCCGGTGATCGATGTCCTTGGTGTCCCCGGCAATGGGCACTGGCCCCTTCTCCCAGGCTCGCACCTGTGTCTCCATGGAAACTCCACTGTGCTTGCTCCCAGGCCTCCCACTCATCAGGACCGACTTTAACCACCTTCATTTCTCTGGGGGTGGGACAGCCTCGCTGCAGCTGAGCCCCTTGCCCCCACCGCCACCCCTTCTTCATGCTCCCTCCCAGGGGGAGCAGGCAGCATGGCCAGCTCTGGGTGGAGCAGGCCCCAGTCGCCCCCTCCCCCGGGCCCAGCAGTTCTCCTTGGCGGGCCTGCCGCCTGTGCCCCTCTTCCAGAAGGGCTGTGTGCTGCTGCACTGGCTCGCTGGCATGCCCAGGCCAAGCATCCCTCCTCGGGCTCCCTGACATGTGTCAGCCACAGCACCTGGCATGCTAGCACTTTAGAAGGCTATGTGGGATGTCCTGTGTGGTCTCTCACCTTCTTGTCCCAATCTCCATCACTGAGCTGCTCGCCCAGGCCTATGCCTGAGCTGGCTCCTGCAGGCCCCTGGCATGGGAGAGTCCAAGAGGGCTGTGAGGGCCGCCCTAGCCAGCCCATGGACAGTGGCCATGTGGCACACTTGTTAGTGCTCGAAGAGCTAACACTACTGTAGCCCAAATGCCCCATGCACATCCTGTACCACAGCAGCCCCTTGTAGGCTCTCTGTGGAGGGATTTGCTTGGGAAGGGCTTCAGGTGCTTGTGAATGCACCACCTCGGGACTCTGGCTGGGCCTGGGGCAGCCTGTGTACCTCTGCCTCCAAGACAGCTCGGAGAACCCAGGCAGCCAAGTGGCCAGAACAGCACTGAGGTCCTGCCCCACTCCTGTGGGCCTCAGTCTCCCCCACAGACCCGGGACAGCGTGACCTCCTCCCACCCTGGGTTCCCCCAGCAGCAGATTTGCACCTTCTCCCCAAGCTGACTTGGGAGGCAGCTGGCAGGCCTGGCAACACCCTGCTCTCCCCTTCTGTCCTTCTGGTGTATCTCCTAGCTGCGGGTGAATGGCATGGGGCTCAGCCATGCCCTGGTCCAGCCTGATGCTCCCCCTACCCTGTGCTGCTGTGGCCCAGAATGAGGACAGTGCTGCTGCAGCTGCTTCCCACCTGCTGTGAGCTTGTGGGGGTGGGGGCGGGGGGCTGCATGGCTAGTCCATCCCTGTCCCCTCCAGCAGGCAGCCTGGGCCACCCTGTGTCCCGACTTGGTAGTTGTCATCCCTCCCACTGGTCAGGATGGCCTAGAAGCTGGGCTGTCACCACCAGCACAGCAGCCTGAGGAGGGAAAGAGCAGCGGCATGGAATCTGGGAAGAGCACTCGGACTGGAGCTGAGGCTGTGTTGAGCGCCCACAGGAGCGGGGAGCCGAGCAACTCAGCACCCATGTCCAGCCTGGCACCACTCCAGCTTCCTCCAGAGGGGATACCCCGGGTCTGACTGGGGGCCCATCTAGCAGGACCAGCTGGTGGTGCCACACTCCAGTTCCTCAGCAATGCCCAGGATGCTCTTCGTCCTCAGGTCCTGCCAGCCTGATTCCAGGCCGGCCTCTCTGGCAGCCACTGCACTTCCCCTTCCACCCATGGTCAGCTCCACGGTCCTCCAGGGCAGAGCCGCTGAGACTCATCTTGGCTGCTGGGACTCTGAAGTCAGCTAGCTTGATGCCAACTGCAGAGAAGGTGGTCCGAGTGTGTCCAGAGACCTGCTAGTATCCCAGCCCTGGAGCAGTCTGAGGGGTGGTTTCTGTGGAGGACAAGGAGCTATGGGGTGGGGAGCCAGGCTTTCCCTGCCCTCTACAGTCAGTGCTGTGGCCCCACACCCCACAGCCATACCAGGGGCCTCTGAGGGACAGCCAGCCCCCTGCCTGGTGAAGGGGAAGCCCCTTATGGCCAGGAGCCTGCAGAGGCTGAGAGGAAGAAGAAGAGGAGCACCTCCCAGGGAGACCCCAGGAGCAGTTGTCCTTAGTAACTGTGGCCAGAGCCTGACAGGCAGTGGGGTGGCAGGATCCTGTGGGATGGCAGGAAGCCATTGGTCCACACAGAGAAGTATCACCCATGGTCCCAGCCCAGCACCACCCCTGTGATGGCTCCTGGTGCCTCTTACTCCAACATCCCGTCCAGAGGGAGCTGCCCCATGTAGGCTGAGGGGACTCTAGGCCTGCCAAGGAAGCACGCACAGGCCCCAGTGCCTTGAGGGGATCTGTGCACCTCTGTAGGGTGCCTTGAGGCTGCAGCACCCTGGGCATGGGGCCCACCCCCAAGTCTGGCAGCAGAGCCCGCAGGCCCGCAGGTACGAAAGGGGCAGCTTCCTTGCAGGAAATCCAGACCCTCCCAAGCCCAGTCTCTACAGGTGTTAGAAATCATAGATACAGTATTTACTTAATTACACTAAATTATTGGTGGGTTTCCCCATAAGCACTAATTATACCTGATTATAGGTTAAAATATTTATTTTGTCAAAATATTTTCTTGGGGATGTGTTTAACCTGTTCTGTATTCGTGTGTACCGAGATGTGAAAACTAACCCTCTCCTCCGGCCTGCCTTTTTGGCCAGTGGGCAGCGGTGAGGCGAGTGAAGTCTGACAGAGCTGCTGGTCCCTGCCTGGGTACCCTGGGCACCAGGCAGGTGGACTGGGCCCGTCTGGGGGAATGACAGACTCGTGTACCAGCTTGAGAGGGCTTGTTGCTGGCCTGGACCAGAGGGAAAGGTGACCATTCATCTGTCTTTGTGTCTTTCTGTCAGCACCTCAGTGTAAATGACCCTGCTGTCTGAGAGACTAGTACTGTCTGCCCTTCCCCTCCCCACCAGAGGTCCAAAGCAGGGGACGGGACAGGAGCACCTGTCCCCCACCAGCGTTGCCTCCAGGTCCTGCCAGGAGGCTAGTGGCAAGGGCTCTGGAAGACTTTGGGTCCCCACAGCCCACCTGCGCCCACCCTTGCCCCACGCCCACATGCTTCTGCACAGTTGGCCTAGCCTAGGACAGTTCAGGGTAGGCCATGGTCTTCCTAGGTGCAGGCCCATGCCCAGCAGGTCTGGTGGGAGTGCTGTGGAGGAGGCTGTGCTCTCTGCCTGGCTATGTCCCCCATGGGCTCATGTTAGGAGGGCCAGTCCCCCCACTCACCCATGCAGAGTCACAGCCAGCCGTCGTCACCAACTGCAATAAGTGTATTTTGCCTAGAAGCCGCTCCTGTGAGGCCCTGCAGTGCCCATCTCCTCACACCCACCTCCAGCCCTTCCTGCCCACTGGGGTCCAAGCTAGGCTTCCCTTGCAGCCACAGCCTCAGGGACATGGCCCAAATAGTAACTGCTGCTCTGGTATGTCAGTCTCCAGGTGCTCCTGGAGAAGGGGGTGGATATGCATTTCCTAAAGTTTGCACTTGTGGGAGTTCTCAGGATTGTAGGGGCTGTAAAAAAGTGGAATGTGTGGAGCTCGTTGTCCAGTCACCCCTGGAGCCTGGTTTCCCTGTCCTTGTCACATGTTTCTGGGGGCGGTCAGTGTGTGTGAAGCTCAGAGCAGCCCAGAGTGGCCAGCCACCCACTGGCACCCCTTCAGTGTCATCTCTCTAGTTTGGGTTCTTGCATGTAAAATACTCCATGACAAATAAATAAGCTTTCCTGTGTGACCACTGTCGAGTTGCTGTGACTGGTTGTTGTACCTGCCAGACCTGACTCCTTGTTTTCTGTAAGCAGGGCTTTCTGGGGAGCTACCCCACCACCACCCAGACTGGCTGAGAGCCCCCTGCCTGCCAGGGGAGTCTGGCCTGGAGGAAAACCCCACCACCATCCTTGCAGGGCCAGCCTGGCATGGCCCGGTTTGGGGCATTGGTTGTGATGACTGTAAACCTGCTCAGACTGCCCGAGAGCTCGGGTGCTAGGTGCAGTGGTTCTTCCGTGGCTCATCCCCAGCCCAGCATGTGGAGGGAGGCACACACCCAGGGCCTGGAGCACCCAAGGCACTTAAGCAAATAGGCCTCAGTCCCCTTCAGCCCTCCTCAGCTAGGCTCCCCAAACATCTGGGCATCTGAATCCTGCAGAGCTTATGAGTTTGAGAAGTAGCTTCCTCTCCCCTTTTTTGGTAACAGTTTTACTGAGATAAAATTCGTATGCCATACCTACAATTCACCCATTTAAAGTGCACAATTCGGTGTCCTTTAGTGTATTCACAGCATTTGTGCAACTGCCACCACAATTTTAGAACATTTTTCATCATGCCAAAAAGAAACCCGTAACCTTCAGTAGTCACTGATCCCCTCTTCTCTCATCTCCCCCCGCAACCCTCTCTCCCTTTAAAAAGGCTGCTCTCCTCGTCTTGCCTTCAAGAGGGGCTTCTCCGGACCCTAGAGGCATAGAGGGTTAATTGAGGGGTGGGTTGTGGGAGCTGTTGGTGCCTGTGCCTTCTCAGAGTGGCTCAGGGGCTTGAGGAGGGACCCTCAGGTGCATGTGGAGTCAATGCGGAGCCACTGCTCAGGAGAAGAAACAGGCCTGCAGGATGTAAGCTTGCCAAGGTTGCACAGGGATTAGCAGCAGAGCGAGGGCTCAAACCCAGACCTTGGGCCCCAGGCCAGGGCCACGGAAGAGTGGGCAGAAAGGACACTGTCCCGCCCACCCTGAACATGAGGCACTGCTGGGAAGGTGGCTCAGGATGGGGCCCCCCTGCCAGCTGGCAGGAGGCAAGTGGGCCCATGACTGGGGCGGGGGCGTGTTGGGACCACCAGCCCAGGCCAGAAGCAGCAGCTCTCAGCTCCCTGAGGCCAGCTGTTTTCCTGGTCTCCAGGGAGCTCTGTGGAGGCCCTGCCTGCTTCCAGCCAGGTGAGGAAGGAAGATGCCCCTGGGGAGGGGCGGTGGGAGGGGGTGGTGTGCTTAGCCAGGCCTGAGTCCTGGGGTCCCTGTGACTAGACAGCAGGGATCCTGAGCCCACCCTGTGCCCCGCCCCGTGGCGCTGTGCGCACAAGA